GGGGGGGGGGGGGTCTAGGCTAGGGATGGGACGGTTTCTGAAAACCGTCCGAACCGTTGGGTTGGACTGTCTCGGTTCGGTTCGCGTGTGTTGCGTACGGTTCATGCTGCTCCTTTTTCTCAGAGGGAGGCGTTTACACTCCAGAGCAGAAGGTGGCGCTACTGCGCCCAAAGCCAACCCCCAGTAGGAAACAAGAAGAAGAAGCGAAGCAGCGTAGCCGATAAAAATCCGACGCGCCAAAGGCAGTTTCTAGGTCTGCTGTATGGACCACTTTGCATTTAGAGGGAAGCACATGTTGGAATTAGCACTGTTTCCTCTCTTGCAATGCCAGAATCTCACCTACTTTTAACCTCAGACTGTCACAATAATGTATCAAATGTCAGACTGCTTTTTTCTTTCAGCTTTAACCTGACTATACAAGACATAATAGATTTACCTAACAATCAACATATACCGAACCGAACTGAAAACCGTGACCACGAAACCGTAAATCGAACCGAACCGTGGATTTTGTGAACCGTCCCACCCCTAGTCTGGGCCGGTCTGGGGGGGGGGTTTCGTACCTGTCGGGATGCTCTCACTCCTCTCCCTCTCAAAGCGGGTGACCATCTCCTCCTGCGTGCACTCCTCCTCCTCCTGCTGCTGCTGCAGCTCCACCATCCTCTTCATCAGCACCTCCACCTCCACCGCGCCGTCCACCAGCTGAGGGGGGGGGAGAGGGAGAGAGAGAGAGAGAGAGAGAGACAGAGACAGAGAGAGACACACAGAGAGAGAGAGAGAATTTTAACAATACATTTATTAAAAGGTTTTAAAAGTTACTAAAAAACTGCCATGAACGGCAATCAGTAAATCAGGATTTACAGAAAACAAATTAACCTAGCATAACTCCAAAAAAAACTTTTAATTTACAAGCCAGCACAGAACATTTTTCTGACACCACAATCTGGAAAAGCTTTCCAGGTCCTTCATCATTCGATAGTAATTAAAATCTATTTTCAAACGGGCTTTCACCATCTTTTTAAACACGTGCACAGCATCGTCATCCACAGCTTTTTCCGATTCTGTTTTTTCTGCTCATGTAAACAGCCATCTTTGCTCTTCCCAGGATGAAATGAAAAAGCTGGCATTTCATTTTTGTCTTTTGAGAGTACCTGTACCCCAAAATGAACACGTGTTTAGAAAACACCTCTCCAAATAAT